CGCGCTGCGGCCCGTTGACGACCGCCCTAATCAACTGCCCGGATGACGAGGTTATGTGTGGAGATCGGTAAGTAGACACATATTGTGCCCTAAGGACTCTGAAGAGATCATCGCGCCGGTGATCAGGAGGACTACAGGTCCGCTGCAATAGGGCTGCTTCAAAAGCACTCTAGCCTTCGCTCTAGGATCCCTTTGTCGTCGCGTTCTTCTGGTAGTGCCCCCAGGAACTGCAGCGAGGACGGCAGCGCCACTTAGCTCCCCCCCCCATAACATTCTACTTTCCAGCAAGTATTTTTATCGTCTCATCCCTGGAAGGTAGAAGGCTTGTGGTTGGTGCGCCGCTTTTTCACTTTCGGACCGCGGGTGTGGTAAACATGCCACTTGCCACTACACCACCTCAGAACACTTATAAGGGAGACTCAATTGTAGACTTGGTTTCGCTTATAAAACGAGTGCGGAATGTGCCTATATAGGCAAAGGCTGCCCTGGGGAAAAAAGCGAACAACAGGATGGCAATACCAAATTCACTTCAGAAACCGAGCTTCAGTCGAGAATTTCGCCATAAACCCCGAACATTTACGCGTAAAGTCTGTAGGATTTACCTCATTTAGCTGCAAGCAACATATCGGTCGTTTTTCTTTCAACATATGGCAGACAGTATTTGAAGTTCCGATGTACGTGCGAACTTGTGGATAACTGCGTTGCAGTCTGAGAAGAAAAGTTAACATTTGAGATAATCGTTGAGAACTTGTTCCAACTCACTTCTTCTTTATACAAGGGCCTTTGCATTTTTCACAGTGCTCTTCGTTATCTGATTCGCTTGAGGTACCTGGCTTCGCCTGAATTGTTATTGATATTTGTTATTGTTTGATGTTGTTTTTGTTTATCATTAATGCTCAATTATGGGCAAGACTTGACCTTGCATGGTAATCACACCCGGTTGAGCTATCGTTAAGGCCACTCAGATCGAAATAGATCGCCTAGCTTCATGTCATCTCTTCTACGTTTACTGCTGTCGTAGTTAGCTCACTCTGGCTCTTTCCGCAGTAGTCTATGCACAACTACAGGCATATAACAGAATGTTGGTCATCGCAGTATGGGGTGCCAATGTCAGTAGAGGTGAAATGAGCCCATTTCCGGCTGGCCTTTCTCTACCAATAGTGATGGGCTACTGAGCGATTT